AATAGGAAACAACAGATAAGTCTATGCTTAAACACTTGTCCATAACGAAACTCAATGTCTCTATCCCCTATAGTTATAAGAGAATGCGTTGTAAGATATGAATAGTATAAACTAAGGACGAGGAGTTCCATCGAATGAAAGAAACATTCAATACCAATCCATTCTTCGACAAGAACAGAATGAGTACATAGATTAATTCTTAAAATTATATCAGATAAGCAAGAAAAAGTAAATTAAAAATAATAAATTAATGAAATGAAATATAATTGTAATTAAATTCTTTTCTTTGAGATGCAAAAGCAATAGAAGAAAACAGTGAATCATTTTTCAAAAATTATTAGAAATTAAAATGTAAATAATAGGAATAGAAACGGAAAACCAAATGAGCAATATATATTATCAACGCTCAACGCCAAGAAAAAAAATTTGCAAAAAAATGTTCCAACTTAGCAATGACCAATTCCGAGAAATATAAAACCATGTTTTGTATTTATACTGTATCTCATCTTGCCTGAGAAATAGTCTCTCAATATTCATTGTATCCGATAGATGTTCTTTATGTATAAACATTGTAGTAACTTTATTTTAGATGATGGGATCATTATGCCCTATTAAGTTTGAAGCATGTCCTTCTGATTTTGCTTAATTTCTATCTGATGAGACATGTTACTATAACTAAATCCCTTGGGATGGCATAGATTCTGCATTTTCAAAAAAAAAAAAAAAAAAAAAAAATGTAAATATCAAGATGTTCTTTTTGTAATAAAATATTAACGAAAATTCAAAGAGTAATGGATTGTTCAGACTGTTTTAAAAATTACATCACAGAGAGAATAATAATCACGAAAATATATGATTAAAATTAATATAATCATAAACATACATACACACACAAATAAAATGATAAACCTGTATCAGCATATTGGATTTCATGTTAAAGCTAATCGTACTCGTGTATTAGATGCGTTTAATAGATTGCGCGGTAGTGCACCTTAATCGCGTGATTAATAACAATATTGTGTTTTCCGCGATATATACCGAACTCTGTATTATTGTGAACATTTATATTTAAGTGAATAAATCTTCCTTTTCGAAAAAGAGACCCGCGTTCCTATAAAACTGAAAAATGTAAAACCTGACATCCAGGAAGGCACGGAAGAACTAAAATTCAAATTAGAGCTATATGCCGAGTAAAGCAAGACTAAAGTTATAGAGCTAATTGCGAAAAAATTCGGAACTGAAAATATTTATAATTTAAACCAGAACGAATTTCAAACGAATTAGCATATGATCCATTCTGAAAAATTACTAACTATTATCTAATTAAGGACAGAGTATTGTGCAATCTATATAATCAATAACCCATTCATATACGATATAACTAATAATATCTTGTGTTACGTCTTAACGATTTCACGATTCTTATTTTTCGAGAATTATCACTTATTTTTTAGACAATATAAACACAATAAACGTATGAGTGAACGGGTGTCCGGAACCAATTATCGAAAACATAATTAGGAACAAACGCCAAGTCATTATTTGACGAAATAACGCGAAACCAGACAATTGTCAAACATTTAAATAAATCAAATATTAATCGATACGGATAAGAAAATACTTATAATTCAGATCAAAGTGGATTTCAATTAGAATTTCATTCTGATCGTACCTTATCATAAAATTGTTGCAATTTTATATCAAATGTTAAAAATTCAAGATGTATCCTTAGATAAATGAAAAATATTTAAATAAAGATTAGATAAGTGAAAAATATTTAGATTTAGAAATATTTAGAAGAAAGAAACTGTAGTGCAGTCTATATCAACAACGATGCACAATTATACTATACAGCCGACTATTTCTGCTGATGGTAGATTACTATCACTTCTTTTTATAGTATTAACAAAAGTTACAGAAACATTTGGTCCAAGAATGGAAAATATATTCAAGGCACCTAATATTTTTATTACGGCTTCCACATCAGGTAAATTAACATCAGATCATGTAAAAACTTGGTTAAAAGAAGTATTTTTTCCGAATATCGGTCCACAAAGTATTACTATTAGATTCATGGAGTCATGAACATTGTCCCAACATAATTTCGGAAACTAAAACAGAGTCTGCAACAAACATTGTTCTCCTAACAATTCCGACTGATACGACGAGGAAAATATCGATTATGAAAAAATTTGATTAAATACTTTTCCGATACCATTATATTGTTAGATCTTGCAATTGATCTTCACGCTAGGAATATCTAGAAATTGCAATTGTTACGTCATACCGATTGCATGATTCTTCTCTTTTGAGAATCATTTACTATTATTTAGTTATACAAATAAACAGATCTCACTTCTATATATTTTTAAGAATTATCAAAATCTGTTGAGAAAAACCAAGATATTGGAAATAGAGAAAATGATAAGCACGCGGATTGCCGGTCACGCGGATAATAATTATTAGAATCTTCACACTATTATTTTCGTTCTCGGAAAAACAGGATACCGAAAAATGATAAGCACGTGATCACGAAATATACAAGATCGAATTTTCCTCAACAGAATCGTATAGCGCCCTTTGAAAGCACAGTAGTTAATTCACTCAGTACGCTCAGTACCCCCCCCCCGTTATACACTTACATTCTGATTTTTGAGGGTAAAGTTAGTGATCCCTAAACACCTGCCAGATCTCAAGAGTTAGAAGTCCGCGAAAGTGCTCGTGTTACGATGATAGTGCGCGATTCTGAGTCCTTCTGGCCCCTCGGTGCGTCTTCCTGTGGGTAAGCCCGTTCCTTCGTCTTTCTGTGGATAAGTACTTGGTCTATCGGCTCACGTATATACAAGTGACCAAAGGTCTTCCCGACAACACCGCTCCTACATACATCACTTTTCAGACTCAGCAGAATATGAATCAATCGAGAGTACCGACTTCTAAACCATCACGGTCTAACCGCTCTCTCAAACATGTACGAAATCGCCGGAACGCCCGGGCTAAATGGATGCTCAAGAACACCGATAGACAATCGAACCAAATTCTTTTCATTTATTTATCCGTTTTCCTCAGAGTGAATCAATCAGAAATACCAGCTTCTAAATCTTCTAGTGCTCTGCGCCCGGAAAGGAAGCGTTTTCCTGGTAGTGATCCCCATGCGTGAGGGAGATTCACCCTTATCCATCTTAAGCGTTATCAGGATCGCAAGCCCTTTACTTTTGATCACTTCTTTGTGCACGCTACAAAAAATTCACCTCGTCCGCCCTAAGCGTTGATGAGATGCAAGCCGCTTTCTTTCAAAAAAAAAGAGAAATTTCCGATACGGTATGAGTATTGAGAATGCACTTTAACACGATGAGCTATCATATCCTAGTTAATTATTTTTAGAAATAAGATACCCTATAGATACATTATAGCACGCTCTGTTCCTACGAATTTTTGTTGCTAAATCGAAAGTGTATCGAAAGCATTGTTGCCTTTTTTCCGCGATGCTAATTGATTGTTCTCTGTCGCTACGCGCTAATTTCGCTGAGCGGCTGTCATCATATTGCGGAGTTAGCAAATGATGAAAATAAAGTTATATTTAAAAGATTATAGTTCGCGACACTAGTGAGATATAATAAAATAAATTATTTTTATATTTTATTATTTTTCTCTCTGCCATAACCATTCTTTGCATCGCCCTTAGCTTTCGGCTTCCCAGGGGTATTGCCGAGTAGGTAGCCTCGAAATTAATAGAAAGCGACGCTCACTTTTCAACCGAGGTATGAGGAATCGGGTAAGATTGGGTTTCCCGCAACTAGGCATTTCCGATTGATATGTTGATTTGAGTTATGTCAAGTAAAATCGAGATTTAAAGATTCCTTCGGTTAATACGACGGGAAATCAGATAACGCGCCGCGCGAGACGTAACATCCTAAAATTTTTGGTCGAGAACGCGCTCTTTTGTTCAGAAACAGTTCCACACCTTTGTGCTGACGCTAGAATGGAGAAGCCACTTGCTTTTGCGAATTTAAGCATCAATAATAATAATTCTGTGAATTTGAAATGTGAACAATCATACAACGATGGATCTCAAAACATGTTTATTAACCCTTTGATCCTAGATCAACTAGGACCAAACTCGTCGCGAGAAAACATTTGTTTTTACTGTAAAACTCCAGGATACCTTATGAAAGAATGTCGTAAATTACCATACCAAAGAGCAATGAGAAATAGCAATGTGCAACCTCAAGATGTCGGAAATTCGGGAAACGCGCCACAAGCGTCCCGGTTCCATCCGTTGGGATGCGATGCAGTTAGGACGCCTGTCGGCAATTAATATAATTTATTAAATGCATGATATCGCTCCAAAATCTCCCTCTAATCTCTTTTCACAATTTTTTCCTGATTTGCCTACCGACCCGTGCGCGCATGCGTCTTTGTTCAGCCCTATTGCCGTGATGATCTTTCTCTCTTTCATATATTTGTGATGCGCGTTTATTTCCTAATTTAATTTCTTTGGGCTGAACAATACAATCATTAACACATTATCAATTCTCATCACCTAGGTTTCAAAATTTATTTAAATTTGCATGATTTAAGTTAAAAAGTATATGTACAGAATAGACTGGTAGAGTTTCAAACACCAGTTGAATTTTGTTTTCAAAATGACTCAAAAATAAAATGCGATATTTGTGTGCTTACTTGTTCTTGATGTAAAAAAATCGCTTTATATACAATCAAAAGATATAATTCATTGTAATTTTAATTTATAATCTCGATTTGATCTTAATTTTAATTTGTAAAGATTATAACTATAATATATTATGACATATTGTAAAATTTTCATTGGTTTTTATTCACGATTCTATTTAAATTTTTCTTCCTTTCCCTATTATATGTAAAAAATAAATAAAATTAAATTGTTTTGTTACTAACTCAATTATGCTCCTTACCATATATTGATCTTCCGGTTTCTGTACAATTGAGAATAAATTTTCGTCCTTTTTATGAAAAATTGTATTTCTCTTGATATGGAATAGCGAGAGTCCTCTAACTGCGAGAGATCAATGTTCTCCAAATTTATCTTTATTTATACATTCATGCAATCTTCATCATCTGTGTGGGCAATAAGGAACATGCGGAAACAGGTGACAATGAATGGATTTGAACCTAAAACAAAAAGAAATATAGATATTAAAAATTTAATAAAAACACAAAATCTTTTAACGCGCTATTATTACAATATTTTAAGATTCAATTGTAAATATAGACATTTTTATATTGAAAACACCATAAAGTTACATATCTAAGTTATATAAATAAAATCTAGTAAGAAAAGATATAAAACTTTAATAATTTATATGGATTACTTCAATTATAAATTATTTATAAAAAATTACCATAATCTTTTCATGTAAAAGCTATATCGTCACTATTAATTAATAAAATATTATCTTATTTAAAGTTAATGTATTCATTAAATGTATTCATCATATAATATTTAAATTTAATTTTATATTAAATATACTAATTTTTTTAATCAGCTTTCCGTCCTATTATTTTTTTTGCATTGTCTGATTGTCTCATTTTCTGCGTACAGATTACGTGCAAATATTCTTCTTTACTCGCGTCTCAATTATTTTATTTATCAGCTATAGACGAAAAAAAAAGGAACACGATTTATATAATATTTATATAATATTTGCGTTTCACGTAGTCTCGATTATAAATTGCAAATCATTAAATATACAGTAACAGCAACTCGCCTTGATATTTTTCGTCGTTAATATTCATAAATGCGAAACTTTGCTTATTTCTCACTAAATAAAAAGTCTTAGCAGATATTCACGATGCAAAGAAACAAGCCATTTCTTTCGGTTACTGGAAATAAGATGAGATGGTGGAAAGAGAATAAACTCGTAAAAAATCACAATTATTATGAAGTCAATTAAAACTTACGAGAACATGCCGCTATGTCGTCCTCGTAATTACTCATCTCCCTTTCGTCTTTCACCAGTACCAATTACATGGAAAATATCGCAAGGCAATTCGTGCACATACATTAACGCGAATATAAATTACAAGTGTCTACACTTGACATAATATCACTTCACGAAACGATCATTTACTCACGCGCGCAAACATGAAATTGTTAAAAATAAATCGACAAGAAAACTTTAATTATGTTATCATTATTTTATCATTATCATTATTATAAAGTAGATTTGATTTCATGTATTTCGAAAAATATACATCATTCATAAATAATACAATAAAATTTACAAAAAATATACACTAAAAATTCTAAAATGTCTTCTATGTATATGTATGTGTTTAGGTACATGATTTCTCTTAATTTTTGATAATTTTTCAAAATTATGCTATATTATAGATATATAAAAATAATAGTATTTTCTTAACCTATATATCATATTTTGATTAACAAACTTATCATAATGCACATTTTGCTTATGATAATATAATCTTTTCCAACTGAAAAACGCCAAAGTTAAGAAAAACTAAATATTCCAACATTTATTTGTAGTATTATAAGACTTCCTTATGGAAACCGTAGAAGGTACCTTAATTTAGTTATTTCTTCTAAAGAATTTCCTACGGCATCCGACCGCGCGGCATTCTACACGAGCATCTCTTACGCGAAGTTAGTAATTATAGAAGTAATTGAAGCTTTGCTAATGCAGCATCGCGTCGCGGAAGATCATGCAAGAAAGAACAAAAGAAACAAAAGAAACAAAAAATTATAATACAAATAAAATTTTCTATTGCGAAGAAAAATCGGTTTAAGTACAGTTTTGTTTAAATGGTCAACCAATTTACAAGTTAACTTTCGTTAATCAAACAAACATTCATAATGAAAAAAAAAATGAGATAAAAATATATTAAAATCTGTGACAACATTACCTCTTTGGATCGTCTTTCATATCAAAACCATCAATTTTTAGGATATTCCATTCGTCTCTAGGTCCCTTGGAATAACTAAAAGAGACCTGAAAAAGGTGAAAAAAAAAAAACTTTGATTCAATAAAAATCATAAAATTTTTCTTCAGCAGAGAATTATATATTACAAATCACATATCACTGATATTATGTTGAATGACATCATTTATCTTTATGCGCGTGTGTACGAATACGCATTTGCGAAATCTGAGACCAAAGCACTGAGTAATGCTGGTCGTGAAAGAAAATACTTTTTGTGCCATCGTTTTGCACGTGTTCAACTCGCCAGTTATACGATCGTTCGCGCACATCGTAATTCGATCTTGACGCATGTATTACAATGCATTAGCACACGAACAATGTAAATAATTCACATTTTCCTTTCACAGTCGCGAATCCACAAGTTAAATGTCTAATATATCAAAATATATACAATTACGTTTAAAATTTAGACTTTTATTCAATCTATTCAAATAATTTAATTCGATTAAAAATTTTAATCAGATTTTTAAAATTAAATTAATCTATTTTTTTCTATTATTTCTAGCACGTATACGATATGTAATGCTACATAGAAAAAAATGTTAATGCATGGGTCAATTTAATTAATATTTATCAATAGGTCATATATTTCTGTAATTGTTTCTACTAAAGTAGCCTGCGAACTAATAAACGGAAATCGTACGATTAAATAATGGCTATTGTATTTCGTGAAATAAAACAGACAGTGCACTCGAGTGCGCACGTGATCTGATTCATCGTGGGTTTCAAATCATCCTATTATTATTCCATTATTTATCATCATGCTATTTATCATGACTCTTATATGCTCGGAACAGACATTAATTTTGATTATTTATATCTTGCATTAAAACAAATGATTTCTGCGTAGAATTACATAAAGATATTAAAAGTTCTTATCTGATTAAACCAGAAATTTAATTTCTAAATATTTTATTTGGGTAATTTAATATACATACTTATTAATGATATCAATAATAAAATAAAAAGCTTTGTTTAAATCAAACAAAAAAAATTTTTTATCTTGCTATCAATCTCTAAGATTTTTACATCTCTTTTGATATTTTAATCAATTAGATCATTTTTTTTCTCTGATATTACTTAATAGTTCTATTTAACTTCTATTTAGAATCAGAATTCTATTAGAGATAACCGAGAACTTTTCTTTCTAAAAGAACTAAGAAATTGTTTGTTTACTGTTTATTTCAGACACAAAGCGGAAATTTAAAAATGACAATACAAAAATTGAATTTCTATTCTATCTTCTACTTTAAAATTAAAATAGAATTAAAATTTTGACTTGAGAATTATCCGTAACAATGTGTCTCAGCATCACTCGAATAAAGACTTACATAAAATATAACTTCAAATCAAATTGCTACTCCAAAATGTAAAAAAACAAAAAATATATTTAAATTACCTGCTCGCGAAAGGTGTCCTTGTTCAGGAACTTCATTGGCTCTAAATGCGAGTGGAACTGTTCTACCACAGTGAGTTGCTTTTTCAAGAGATACTCAATAATGTACCCCATTGTTACATCGTCTGGCAATCTGATTCTGTCGCCAACGGTGATAAATTTTCCTCCACTGAAAAAAATACAAATGTCACAGATTATTCGTCATCGATTAGTTTGTCCAGAAAAGTTTTATTATAGAAATCTACAATCTTGATTAAAAAGCTATCGATTTCATATCCGTTTAAATTATTATAAACCATTTTCAGCGTACCATCGCTTCGCAACGAAATGAACAATAGCCCAATATCTATTTCGTAGCTCCTTACATAATTATGATTATTGCATACAGCAATGATCATTGCACCAACAAACTATTGTTAATATTTGTATTCAATTGTAGGAGAGAATAGTTTGATTTTCGTCTGTATTCAAAGTTCTTCACAAACATAATCTACGTAGATATTAAATGGTAAATGTATGACGAACAACACCAATGCCGACAAAATGGCAGACTAATGATGACTTGGACTTGGCACAACGTGGCCGAAAATCATTGAGTTTCCATATTCAAAATTATTCAATTGGATCTAAAAGTAACAACCAATCACAATCAACTAAGGCACAATTCTTGGACGAATCTAACAGAATTAAACAACTTTATATATAATATCAAAAATTAAATGCAAAAGTTAAAATCAATTACGTTCAGAATCGATGCTTTATTGTTGCTAAATATGATCATTACATTTTCTTTTTTGAATTTTAAGATGATCAAAAATAAAATAAATATATATGAAACGACGGAAGAGACATTAGTGGTCATGTCTGGTACTACTGATATACTGACTGATGACTGCTGCTATCTGATGATGATTGGAGAAACTATCTTTTCCAATATTTAAATACAATCAAAATACAAATTAAAATAAATTTTTTTTATTTTGGGTTTCCAAATCCATTTCTGGATTTTTGATGTTTTTTTTTTTAAAGAGTAATTTAAAATATAACAGAAAAATTGATCATAGCTTCAGATAATTCTCGGATTTACTGTAAGTTATCTTTTCATAATATTTAAAAAAAATTTTTTAGAAATAAAAAATATTTTATAGCTTCGATTTAATAAATGTGTCTTATAATTAATGAACTTTATATAATGATTTTTAGTTTACGACACAGTATGTACAACGCTGAAGACTCGACCATCGTAAAGCCGATCATAAAATACACATTGTGTAATTATTTTTTTCTCAATAAAATGAGAGAAACGAATTTAGAAAATACTAAGGTATTGCTAATAATCGGAATTCTAATCAGAAATCTAATAGCTGTCATACAAGATAGCAAATAATTAATTAGACATCGCCGTTACAAATTTTGTTACTTCGATCAACGATCTTCGTTTAGATGCAATAGTCGTTTAAATATTCATGAATCTAGTTAACGCATTTAATAACTCGTCATCAAAACATTGGTATTTATTTTGTGATAAAATCTTTTCATTTAATTACCTAATAAAATTGAAAATTACAATATTTAAAGTAATTCTTTCCTTGATGCAAATAATTCAATTACCAATATTATTATATAATTTATTCGTTCAACGAAAAAAATTATATCTTTTGTCATAAATGTAATATAATTCTTAGCAATTTTAAAATTATACAACATATATTTAGACAAATATCGCTTTTATGTATACCATATAAAATCCCCATTATAACTTTTCTAATATTCCCATCAACATCAAATAATAACTATTAATTATTAATTTTATTAAAAAGAATATAAAATGCAGAAACAATTTACCGATTATATCGCTCTTTTCGACGTTTAACGACTGCTTAAAAACATCTGCTACGAAATAATTACCGACCACTATCAGCGTTGCATATGAAGTAATTAACTCATTCCCACATAGCGCCTCGTGTGTCCATAACGCCCGCAGAAGCACGATGATCCCCCCTCCCAACCCCCTTTGGCAACCCTCTTTCGCGACGGTCGTTCATTCGCGCGCGGCGAATTATGGGAAAAAAGACGGAAACACGTCACGGAACCTCCCGGGACAGGGTTCCCGGCGGGAATAAATTACCGGGCCCTACGCACCACTCCGAAAGTCACGCGATACTGACTAAGATCCTTAAGTTCTTCGCGTGGCACTCGACACGCATGCACGATTAAGGTCGGCCGGAAATGCGGCGGCAGAATGCCGCTGTCCCAATGCGAAAACCCGCTCACGGGTAAAAGAAAGGGGTGCACGTAAATACGGCAACGATTGTCGTAAAAAAGAGAAGGGGTGCACCTCAAAAGGGGAAAAAAAGGAGTACAGAATAATTGGCTCCAGCATCACGATAGAGTCGTGAAGCGAAATCAATTACCTTAGTGTCCCTTTACTTCTCAAGCAATGTTCTACGTTCTACTCTCCGTTACCATAGATAACTATTATAGATTATCACCAATAACAATCCGGCGGGATCGATCATTGCGTACGTGAGGCATTAACGCTCATTCCTCATCGTCATAGTCTTCATTAAGCTCAACATTAATCAAAGCAGACGAACGTTAGAGCGTGGCTATGTTCCGTCCAGGCATCATGCGCGGGTAACGATCACTTCTCACCCAATAACGCGCTCGTTCGACGCGATCGTTACTCGCCCTCTAATGCATTTGCATGGTTGATGAGACTCTTACCACATGGAAGATTAGGCGAAATGTAATGAGAACACTCGCCGTTTCGTTGCGCATGACGCAAACGCAATTTAATTGCCACGTCGCCAGGACGGCGGTGACGACAACCGCGGCAAAAAGATCGGAGGCTTTATTATTCGGCTGCATTCCGCTCATGTAGATTAGGTCGAGTAGAAGACCCGCACCTGCTGTTCGTAACTGCTGTTGCTGTTGCGCGATCGCTACCGCTTCTCTGCTTCAAACTGGTCGGTCCGCATTAAAGCCGACCCCCCTTCGCATTTATTAAGCGCGCCTGCCGCTGACACGCGATATGCGGCTGAGATTGTGCGGATAGTAACGAATTTCCGTCGATTAATCCGTTAATAATCGACGCCATTAATCGGCACCGATTCACCGATCGAACACTGTCGTCAATGCCGATTATCAACGACGGCGATGACGATAACGACTGTTCGCGACAGATCGCGCGTGCATGTATAAACGGGATTTACGCACGGTCGACCGCCGAGAAATTATTTTCGGATTGTGTCGATAACCATCTCATAATGCGAACATCTGGTCTCCATTAAGGAAACATGGAATCCCAACCGTTTATATCGATAATCTCGTTTAGGACATCTCGTTTTAGGAATGCGAGATGCTTTTCATGGCTGTCGTTAAACGTCCAAACGTACAGCATCGAAATTATAGGTGCACCTCGGAGCAGCTCGATTAAGAACATCTCCCTGCAAGTCTCCTGTAACAAGTGGTCGCGATCTGACCGCCGAAAGGGAGACGCCGATTCGCATGAATCGACGATAATTTCAACGGACGAAGAGTCCGATGGCTGACTGAGGCGCAAGGCGAGAGATGCACGATCCACGACGGACATAAATCGTGCCAATTAGAGGCGACGGCAGGTAGTCACAACTTCGGCGACCAAATCCGTATATCGGCCAGCAAACTTCGCGTGAGAGAAAGGAAGAGAGTGCCAGAGAGTGCCACGTGAAAGAACACGAACGGACAAATGTTTCAAAGGGGCGCCGCCGCCGCCGCCGGGTCTCGTAGGTACACGAAAGCCTCTCGGAATGAGACGCACGTTCGGCATGTCGGGAATAAGAAAAGAAGAAATTCCTAAATATAAATAGCGAGAGCGACTAAATTAGAATTAAAGATTTTCGGTTCACAATTAATAAACGAATATAATTATTATATACATAACAATGTAACCTCAAGAGACAGGACAAGAATTGAGAAAAAGTCGGATTACAATTCAGATTGAAGTTAATGGATAACGGACTAATAATCAAAAACTGTGATAAATCTCATTGGTAAGAGAGTTAATTCTGCTTGATCAATTTTTTTTTTCAATCTATCTGGAACTAGCGCTAAGAAAGCGCTCTGGCTAACAATAAGCGAAAATGCGGATCGCCGCATTCCCCATTTGTTAGACGATCATCGGATACGTAATCCGACATCTCTCGAGGCCGCTGAATGTACGGAACAGAAATGCGCTTCTTAGGCTAGGTCGTGTACGACCTGCATACATTTGCGATACAACGAGAGCCTCTCAACTGGCAGGACGGGTGGAGGAGAAGAAGGAAAAGAAGGGACTGCAGGTGCGCTCGGCAGGATAAAATAAGGTAACGACGAAATGAAGCACTCGCGATGCGGGATTTACCATGTTGATATAATGCTCTTTGACAGAGGCCCCATCTAGCACCCTTCCGAATAATTTCCCTGGTCGTGGATGTCCTCTAATTAACGATGTCCTTTATCAACGAGATCGAGATTTCGCATGCACTGAGAAAAAAATGCTGTTGAATCGACAACATTAGTCTAATT